AAAAAAAAAAAAAGAAAAAAAAAAAGAAACGAAAAAAAAAAAAAAAACCCACTCCAAAACGAAACTGCACTAAATACAAACGTTGCCTACACTGCTCCGCGCTGAGCGTGGAAACGCGGAGCGCTGCGACTGCCCCGCGGCACTGCTCGGGCAGGGAACGGCCCTTCGTTGTGCGCGGCTAAGGGGGATCGCAGAGCTGCGGAGCGCAGCGTCCGCACTGATCCATCCCCACACCAAACCCCAGGCCGATGTTCCACGGGCGCTAGAATCATTGTTTGATTTGTCTCTCTTCCGTAGTTCCCTTCGTGCCGACCGAAAGGAATTGTGCTCTGATCGCACTGCCCGGCCTTGTTTTTTTCTGTTCTTTTTTTTTTTTAAATATATATATATTGTTCCTCTTAACTAGTGAGAAAAATATTTCTCTCCGTGGAAAGCAAAAATAAAGCTTTAATTTGAAATTACTTTTTGGTAGCCCTACGAATAACGTTAAGTTAAGCGGCATCAGATCGCCTCGTGTTTTGTTAGAACCAGACCAAACGAAAGCGATCCCTGCGGGCTGCTGTGGGCTGCCCATGCCACTGCCGTGCCCGACACAGCGCACTCCGGAGCCCTCCCACCGACGGGCAGCCCCGGCCCGCGCTCCGCCGCCCCGACAAGGGCTCTGTGGGAACGGGAGAAAGCCCGGAGCGGGGCAGAGCCGAAGCCCACCGGGCTCCATCGGCACTGCCCCTTCTCTCCTTCCCATGTCCCGTCTCGCCTCCTCCAGCCCGATAAAGTCTTTCCGCGTTTTTATTCGCTGTTATTTTCCCCTTAGCTTTACGCTGCGGTTTAGGGAAATCGTGTACAAAGCGTTTGTTAAAACTTCGGCTTTGCTCTGCTCCGTTCCTCCACCGCTTCCGCCTCACCGCGACCCCCGCGAGCAGACGCCGAGCGGAGCCTTCGTACGTCCGACAGCCGCCCGGTGCCACCGGGAGACGGCGGGGACGGCCCGGGGGGCGGCAGCGGCACGGCGGGACGGAGCGGGCAGAGGGGGTGGGCCTGGGGCTGCCCGGGAGAGGGAGAGTGCGGGTGTGCGCGCACGTCTATGCGTACATCTATCCCTGTACACAGGTATATATCAGTATATATACCCGTATATATAAGTATGCAGAGACGTGCATATAAGCATATATATACATATATACACATCTATACTATATATATACATACGTACACTCGCACAGTCCCATCTCTCCCTACACACACTCACTCCTACCCCTACAGACACCCCCTAAAGCTGCACAAACGGCAGCGATCGTCACACCGCTGCGATTCCAACGGAGATTCGGCCGCCCCCCCCCCGCATCCCTCCACACAGCAGCACTGTGACACCTCCAGAGCGATCGGGACATCCCCGCACGGCAGCAGCGCGGATGCCCGTTCTCATCGACGGAGCGAGGCTGAGTCTCGCTTTCTTTAAAACATATATAGATATTGGGTGTTTGGGTTGTTCGTTGTTTTTGTTTTTAAACGAAGTAACGAAAAGCTTTGCGGATTAAATTATTAAGTAGTCCAACCGATAAGTAATTCAGCAATTAAGCGATTCGATCATTAATTTGATAATCCTTTAGTTAAGAATGGGCTCGCACTCGGGGACGGCAGAAGACCCCGCATCCCCCTGCCCCCTCCTATCCCGGCACCGTTCGCGACCGCCCCGAACGAAGCGCCGTTCCCGGCCGCTCCCCCCAGACCCCACGCGGCCGCCGGCGGCCCCTACCTGCGCTGGGAGCCCGCACGGGGATGGGCGCGGCGCGGCCCTGCAGGCAGTGCAGCACGGAGTTCTCGAAGGGCGCCGCGGGCCAGGCAGGGCCGAGCTGCGGCCCCACGTAGGAGGCGTAGGGCGCCGGGTAGGAGCCGTTGAGCGGCCGCGGCAGCGCTCCGTACTGCTCCCTCGCCGCCAGGCCGCCGCCGTACTGCTCCCGCGAGGCGCCGTTGGCCACGGGCGGGCTGGGCGAGTAGGGGAAGCGGCCCGAGGGGTGCGCGCCGCCCGCGGCGCCGTACGAGGGGCTCTCGGCCGCCGGCTGCGACCAGACGTGGCCGGCCGGAGCGTGGCCGGGCTGGGCCGCGCCGCCGCCCTGCAGGTAGGGCAGCGTGGGCAGCACGGAGCCCACGCGGGTGGTGGGCACGTAGACGGGCGAGCTGGGCGCGGAGTGCATGAAGCCGCCCGGAGATCCGTCGTAGGGCGCGGGGCCCTGCGAGGCCGAAATGGCCAAGGTCTGGTACATCGCCGGCGGCCGCTCCGAGTCCGGAGGCAGCGAGAGCGACGGCGGGACGTCCTCCTCCCGGCGGGCGGGCCGGCCGGGAGCGGGGGCGGCCCCGAGGTGCGGCGGGGCGGGCCGGGAGCTGCCGCCGGTCTCCGGAGCGGGGGTCCCGGAGGTGGAGGAGGGCGAAGGAGGCGCCCGGGCGGCGAAGGGGTACGAGGACGCAGCGCACCGCTCCGCCGCGCGGCAGCCGCCTTCAGCCACGGCCATGC